GGGCTTTCAACCCTGGACCCTGGGCCTGGCACTGTACTCAGAAGTTTCCCTAATAAGTCCTGGGACCTTAATTCTGCCTTTCCCCACCAGAAGTTTCCAATCTTTCCGTCAGCTCCTAAGTCTGCACACCCAGTTGAGTGTGGGATGGATTTCAAAACATTGAAAACATAAGTTACTTCTTGGGTTGCATTACATATCTGGCAAGCTGTCTTAAACCTCCATTTTTTTAAAGGAAAATTAAATAGAGGTGAATTTTTCATTGACAGTGAAATATATACTAAGGCATGGATTAATACCTTCATAAAAACTTATCTAAACAAAGCACTGCCTGTCTTATTTCTGTGAAGTCTGCAGGCAGAGGAGAAAGTGCTTTCCTGAGATAGATCGGTACCCACCACAGCTTCAGCGTGAGGAAATTGGCAGGCAGCTGGAGTGCAGGAATTCCTTAGCGTTCTGTTTAGTTTGGATTTCTTAATTCAGGGGTGGCTTAAAACGAGGATCGTGGATATCTGCTTGTAAGAAGCATCTAAGAATTCTAAGAGTGTTTTCTCCTGCCTTGTGTATAATGAGCGCTCAATAGACGTCGCTTGAATCAAAAAGTCATGTGGCCTCTGGTCGGGGCTGGTGTGGTTACTTTGTCCATTTTACAATACAGAAGAAGTCTAAGCAGAAAGCTCGCCAAGCCGGCAGTTCTTCCTCATTGTCAACTCATGGTACACAAGATTGCCAGACACAGCTTTCTATGCTGCTCGACTCCCTCTTCGTGGAACAGGCCTGACCCCTCCCCACTGCCACAACTCCGTCCTGTACTGGCCTGGAACCCTCTGCTCTAACCACTCTGCTTCCTCAGACCCTGGACCCTTTCTAAGCCCTTGAGCCCAACTGTGTGCGCTCACCTACAAATGGACAGGTAAAGCAGGTCGACCTTACTCAGGAGTTCTGCAGAAGTAAGGCCTGGTGATTTGCTTCCATGAAGATTTCAGTCCAGAAAACCTCCCGAGGCCCAGCTCCCCCGCTGTCAGCTGTCAGCTGATGTGATAGCAGTGGCCTGAGTTTCCAGGTAGGCAGTAGGCAGGTCCCTGGGTGGTGGGAATGGTTTGCTCCTGGCCAATAACAGAAAGGTTAACTCTTTGGACCCACAGAAGAAGGGCGTGAGGGTCTGTTCTTAGAAAGGTTACAACCAGGACCTTCTCTCTAACGTTGGGAGGCTCTGTGAGTGGGAAGCAGCTCATCGGCAGTGGGCTTGCTCTTTTTCGGACAGAACAGGTAGCCCCCCACCTACCATGATGTTGTGTTTTGACACTTCCACCAAGGGAGCTCTGGTGGCCTAGTGGCATGAAGCCGCGCTGCGATCTCCAAGACACACGGTTCGAGGCCATCAGCTGCTCCGTGGAAGGTTGAGCAATCTCCTCCCACACGATTAAGTATCGCTGGAGAGTCAGCTAAGGGTCAGTTCCAACTCTCTGAACACAACAACCACCATATGTATCATTAGACACCACTGAGTCAATGACCTTTCCTCCAAGCCTGTGAACAGCAGATGTGACCCTTGCTCGTCCTGCACTGTCCTGACTGTCCTGCCTGGTGTTTGGGTCACTGTGTCAACCCGTCTTGTCAAGGCTCCCCCTCTCTTTCTCTGGTCATCCACTTTCCCAGCATGATGTCTTCTTCCAGGAACTGATCTCTCCTGACCACATTCCCAACATATGTGAGACAAGGACCGTTGCCTGTAAGGAGACAGGCTTCTTTGTTCCATGGGCTCTCTTCTCCAGCACCACAGCTCAAAGGTATCTATTCTTCTGTCTTCCTTATTCACTGTCCAACTCTTGGATGCATAGGAAGTGATTAGGAATAACTAAGTATGTTTTTAGGTCAAATACTTTTTTTTTTTAGCTTGCATTTATTACATTTATTCCTCACTTATCAATCTAGGTTCCAAAGACCAGGTCATTAAATGAAAATCAGCATTATGGGCGAATGGAGGCTGATCGCATGAGGTCAGAGTGGAAGATAATCACATCATTATAGAACTGCCAAGTTACATCATGATCGGGTGCCAAATTGCCTCATTGCTTATCTGGGAGACCACTGGGAATCATCGAGGCCCAGGCCAAGTGCACACGTGAACTTAACTGTGACAGCCGCCTTACCCGGGCCTCAAGCCCTGGCATTCATTACTGCTGCACACACGTTGTTACTGTGCCAAGTATTTAACTAGCAGATTTCTTGCTGTTACTGGAATGTGAAATGTATGGACATGTCTCACTGTCAGTGAAAAATAACCCTTTATCTAACAAGATAGTCAAATAAGTGAAGAGTAAGCCTTCTATCTGTATCTCGAGAAAGCCTATCTTGGCTGTTTCCTCACAAATAAGGCACAAGGTCTACAAAGCCCCCTCATGCATTAGCTTCCTATACATGTTGTGCCTATTACATGGAGGAAAAGACAGTATTCGTCCTTGGGGGTTGGAAATATGATACAAACATCTGCCAGTAAATACTGACAATGATCACATCAGAAAAGTATGTGCTGTAACACTGTTTAGTTCATATTGTTAACAGGAAAATGTATCCAAAAAGGTGAAGTGTGGTTCCTAAATGGGCACCGCCCCCTTCCTCTGTCTCCATACTACCTTCCCCACTGCCCTCTGCAGTGCCACCCCCCACCCTCCGCCTGTGGGGGTTGGGGGGCACACCTCCAGTTCTCTCTGGGAGAAACACCCCTGGGCCCCACCAGCCAGCCCTCCACTATGTGCTGTGTGCCTGTTTGTACTGTGTTTGCAAACAGAAAGGAAGTGATATATCTGAGTTCGTTGTTAGTACCCTTTACAGACGTGTGAACACATTCAGCTGCTGAAAATCTTTCGAAGAAAATAAGGTCCAATTAACGTGACGTTTATGTCAGAGAAGTGGAGAGTTTTGAAGCAATCCTTTCTGCTCAGTCAATGCTTTTTTTTAAAAAAGTACTTGCTCTGTGCTGGACACTGTGGGGGGAAGGGAGACAGAGAGACTTGTCCCCAGGATGCCACAGCTCTAAGCTAGCTTTTAAGCTGGGTACTGGGACCATGATACATGATGCTTGAGGCTGGCCTGTGGTAGGCACCAAACCAGGCTCCAGGAGACGTGCGGGCACCCAGGAGCTGAGACGGTGGACAGCATGCTAGGAAGCTGGCCCTGCTGGCTTTTAAGGTTCATAATGAAGAGAAAAATACAAAATAAGAGAACAGGCAAATGGGACTAGCCTGAAGTAACGGGGAGCCGTAACCAACGATAGTGCCTAATCAGGTGTGGTCGGTATGCGCTAACAGGTTTGTGTTGGTTTTTTTTTTAGTGACTCTTGGCTGTTTTAAGTGGGTCCCCAGACCCTAAACCTTGCATCTGAGCCTCAGCAGAAGCCAGGACCCTCACCCGTTGCCTCACCAATAGCACCGCCAACTGTCCAGCACATGTCCACAGCGATTTCAAGACTACTCACCACGATCTCCCAACAAGGGCCCCTTTCTAACCGGCCCCTTCCCCTTTGAGAGGTAACTATCTCAGCTCCTTCTGTCTAAATGGGTGTGGAACAAGCAGCTGGCCGGACGGGCTGGTGTGCATGAGGCTGGGCTGAGGCAGCTCAGGTCAGCTGGAGGACTGCTGGTGGCCCCCGGAGACAGGGCTGGGGTCGTTCTAGCTGGTGTGGAGTTGGCCGTGGTCTGGCTTGGGGCCTGTGAGGAGCTGGGCCTGCTTGAGACGAGGCCTGCTCGAAGCTGAGAGGTCCCATGAGGGGTCAGAACTGCTGGACAAGCCCTTCCCCAGGCTGGAGTCTCTTCCAGGCCTGGCCACGGGTGGGGGACACCCATGTGGGTCATGGATGTCGTGGGAGGCCTTCCCCAGGCTGGGGTCTCTTCCAGGCCTGGCCACGGGTGGAGGACACTCATATGGGATCCTGGATGTCGCGTGAGGCTTTTCCAGGCGGGGTTCTTTATCCAGGCCGGGCCTGCTGGACGCCAGTGGGGGACACCATGTGGGGTCAGGGCTGCTGGACAAGCCCTTCCCCAGGCTGGGGTCTTTTTCAGGCCGAGGCCGCTGGAGACAGACACTTAGGGTAGGGTCTGCAGGCCCGGGCAGTGGCCACGGGTCGGGGTGCCAGCCTGGTGCGCTGCAGCTGCGCCCCGGGCCTGTGCGCGGCCTGCTGTCGCCTCCGGCTCCCCGGCCCAGCCGGCGCCCCC